AAACCTTCGCCTTCGGGTAACTGGGTTTCAGATTGCTGACAAAACTCGTCTTTTTAAAGAACTCTAGTCTTTCAGCTGAAGTCAAGCTTTAGTAAGATTTGTTCTCCAAAGACATGAATCCATGGACAATTCTGGGGTATTGCCTTAACTGAGCCTTGTATCCCAGAAAGCCATTATCCGAAACATTGCCTTCAGTTGGCCCTGTGTTTCGAATATCCATTTTTCAATGATAGAGGGAAAATCAAGGATAACAGCAACTGTTGGAAATTGTTTATTCAGCCTCGTCCGAAACTTTCGCCTTCGGGTAACTGGGTTTCAGATTGCTGACAAACTCGTCTTTTCAAAGAACACTGGTCTTTCAGCTGAAGTCAAGCTTCAGTAAAATTTGTTCTCCAAAGGCATGAGTCCATGGACAATTATGGGATATTGCCTTAACTGAGCCTTGTATCCCAGAAAGCCATTATCCGAAACATTGCCTTCAGTTGGCCCTGTGTTTCGAATACCCATTTTGAAGAAATAAAGAAATTGTTTATTCAGCAGAAGCCATACTTCAATTTCTGGGGGGCAAGAAGCACTACCAGTGCAAGTTTATGTTCAGCAGAATTGAAGAAACAGTAAAGCACTAAAAAACAAAGCAGCTGAAGAAAAGAACATCAAATTAATAATTTATGCTCAGAAATTGAGGATCAGACTGGTCAGCATTGTTGGGCCTCATGGTGGTCTCAGCCCCAGCAGCAGAGGAAGCAGGCTTTGCACTCTGCCGAGCCTCCCTTTCCCTTTGTTCAGCCTCCAACTCCATTCTCTCAGCTTCTTCTTCGGCTTCCTCAGCCTTTAGGATTTCAGCTTCGACTGGAGTTGCATACTTCATATGAGGGTCTTCGGGATTCTGGACCCATTCAGCACATTTGGACCAGTCCAACTTCGGCTCAGCATGAAGGCAGACTCTTCGGCTCACTCTGAACCCGTTTCTGAAACCCATTTCATATTCTTCCTGGGTATAGACACGGACTTTGAGTAGAGCCTCAGCATCAACCAACTTCTTCTGGGTCTCCTCCAAGTCTTCCTTGGATTTCTTCAGCTCATCGGCGAGCTTGGAGGAGGAACCTTTCAGCTCATTCAGCTCCTGCTGAACTTGGGAAGCCTCTGTCTGAGCCTGGGCCACTTCTTCCTTTTTGGCCATCAGCTGATCCTCAACTTCTTGGAGCTTAGCTCTCTGAGCTTCAGCAGCAGCAGCAGCCTCTGAGAGTTGGACATCCCTGGCTTGGAGCATCTCTTCAGCAGCCATTCTGCTGGCTTCAAGAGCTTCTAGCCGTTGCTGCACTTCAGCTTGTGCAGCAGCTCCTTCCTGGATTCGGCTCTCAATGGTAGCCTTGAATTTGGAGATGTCCACTCCCATGTGCTCTTGGAGGAATTTTTCCCCTTCCATCAGTGGGGGAAAAACTTCCTTCTCCAGAGCATCGCAGAAGGTTTTGAAGGCTTCAGCAGCTTTTTTCTCGTATTCTTCACCCTTCTGCTGCTTCTCTTCAGCTGCTGCTTGCTTCAGCTTAGCAAGCTTTAACTCCTCTTCGGCTACCTTTTTGTCGTGCTCGACAGCGTCTACCCTATCTTGTAGGGTATCTATCAGCTCTACAGTGAGAGTCTGATTGTGCACGAACTGAAAACAGGAGCACAAGTTAAAATAAAAAAAATAAAAATAGAGCTGAATTTTAGAGGAAATAAAGGCAAGGAAAATCACCTGCATCATCAGCAGTTGGTTAGACCTGGCTGGGTCAGGAACTGATCTGCTGGATTCGCCCATCCCAGCAGTGGCCTTCAGCGACCAGATTCTTGCCCTATCTACTTCGGACGTGCCAGCAAAATCGCCGAAGTAGGCTGCAGCACCTTCTCGGTTCTGACCCCATATGAGGTCCCAGATGTGATCTGGGATTGGAATTCGGGGGGCCGAGAAACCCATTTCTCCAGATTGCAGAGTCTGGAAGGAAGGAAAGGATGACGACAGAGCTTCTTTAACTTTGGATGGCTCAGCATCCTCCTTCTCAGAAGAGTCAATTATTATGACCTCCTCTTCTTCAGGGGTGAAGACGAAAGCCTCAACCTCTCTTGCAATGTCTGCCATGAAATCCTCAGCATTGGGCATCACGGCATCCTCATTCTTGTGCTCAGCAGCACTCTCCTGAACTTCTTCTTGGACCCCTCCCTTAGATTCGGGAGTTTTCTGATCCACCTCCATCTCAGGAGGTGGCGGAGGGGTCTTTGGAGGTGATTGAGGTGGTGGCCGGGGAACCCTCGGCGATCCATTGCCTTCCTCGGGTTACCTTATTTCGACGCCGATGGTCATCGGCCTCCGCTGAAAGTCATGGGGGCCGATGATGGCCATTCTTCGGCGCCTTTTCTGAAGCGGCTGCTCATCCATGTCTGAGTCTGAGGACTCTTCTTGTATCTGGTCTTCGGGACGAACAAGGGCTTTCCCTTCTCTGTGTCTATTACTCTCTTCAGATTGTAAAAGACAGGGGGGAGGAAGAATGTGAGCACAAAAAAAAAAAAAAAAAAAAAAAAAACAGAATCAGACAAAGTTAAGTCTGAAAGCTCACTGAGGTCTTCAGCAAAGCCTCCTCTTCTTCAGCTGCCCTAGCTGCAGCTTCTTCTTCAGCAGCCCTGGAGGACCCTTCTCCTCCTTCACAAGCTTCAATAACCCGTGCAACCTCTTCGGCCGTACGGGCAGCTTCAACTTCTTCGTCCAGCAGCTGAAACCAGAGATCTCTCTTCTTCCACCAAGGCTTCTGCCTCTGATACAGAGCAACAGCCTCAATTTGGAAGTGGGAAGAGTCTAGATGAACTTCCCTATGCCTCGGTTCAGTGATAGAGGGGGCCCGATCAGTTACAACTCGTTCTCGGTTGACGCCAAGACGAGCGTAGTTAATGCCGACGTTGGTCTCGTCCCGCTCTGAAAAAGAAAAGGGGAAAGGTCAGTTCAGTTAGGTTGGCACAGCATAAAAAAACGAAGTGAGAGGAGAAAAGGAGATAATTAAAAAGCCTCGGCCCCAGCCGAAGAAGCTTACCATCCTTAAACTTTCGGCTGAGGCCGACAGCTGCTAGCATGTTCTCTTGGAAAACATAATGCGTATCGGGGAGCCAAGTCTCCGGGATATGCTGCATTCGGCCGCTGCCCCCCCCCCGGTTCGGCAGCTTGCCGAAGATATTCTGTTGATTAAGGTTTGGATCTGGGCCGTTATCTGCGGGGGGTCCTAGACTTCCCATGTCGGGATCAGGCTCAGCAAGGTACCGGGGAGCGCTGAAGACGCAAGGGTGGCCCGGGTCCGTGGGTGCCCTAACCCAAATCCATTGACCTCTCCAGTCCTTGTCTGAAGAGTCGTTCGGCCACATGGTTAGGTACTGGGGCCGAGACTCAATCCGGTACCACCCAGAACCATGACTTCCGTGCCCACTTTGAATATTTGGCACTAGCCGATGAAGCTTTTTGAAGCAGTGCAGGTTCGGCACATACCTGAAGAACTTGCAGACCCATAAGTATGTCATCACCCTTCGGATGCTAGTAGAAGTTAGCTGACATAGGGAAATATTGTAATGGATCAGCAAGTCTCGGACGAATACGTCCAAAGGGAACCTCAACCCATATTGAAGTTGTCTTGTGTACACCCCCACATACCCCGGGGGTGGACGATGGATTCTATCGGATGCCACGGGCATTCAGCACCAATACCCATCAGCTTCAAGGATGCCGTAATGCAACTCAATTTGTTCGGCAAACCGATACTGTTCGGCATTCTCCACCCACCATGAGTAGGGGCGGTTCTTTATCATGGCCGAAGCTACTTCGGCATCCTCCCACTCTGAAAACCCGGGGAGGATATCCCAAAGGACAGCGGGAACTTCATCGTCCCGCCCAGAAGCGCTCGGCCCCTCCGTTCTCTGAGGAGGAGCCGAGGAAACTGGAGTCGCTCTGATCCCTTCAGCAGGGTCAGACTCTGCTCTTCGTCCATTCCAGGTCCCAATCCTGTTCCTGGGATCGGGAATCGGCCTTTCTCTTCTTGGAGCACGGGCTCTACCCCTAACTCCTCTTGCCATTGATAATTTCGAAGAAAAAAGTCGAAAAAAAAGGAAGGAGTTCGAATTCGAAGAAAAATAAACTAAAATCAAAGGAATTTACCTTAATCTGAAGCGAAAGTTGCCGATTTACGAATTCGTAGTGCCAAGTCTCAGTTTCTAAGCTTAATGCTCGGGGAATTTGCGAAGTTTTTATGCGGGTTCTTGGGTTCTCTCGAGAATTCTGGGTTTGTGTTGGTGAATAAGTGAGGAGAGATGACACGCCTCTGATTATATCTCCAGAAATGGGAATACGGGGAGTCCGCGTTTCAATTTCTCTTAAATACCCCACTAAGTAACCGTTAAACACACGACCTTGCGATTAAACTGCCCATTATCCGTCCAACTTCCACAATCATCCGCCTTAACCGTTGTTATCTCATTAATTACGGTTTAAATTCAATTTTTTTGGATTAATTAAATCATTCACTTCCCTCCTTTTCTGATTAAATCAAAACCGACCCGTCATCCTTCCAAATCGGGTCTGGGGGCAAGTTGTTTGGGTCCAATTTAGTCCAATTGGGCTTAGGCATTAAATGAACCAATTAAAAGCCCAAGGTCAAGGTTCATCTCTCCAATTGTGCTAAAGTCAAAGATCAGTCCTCAAGGCAAGCCAATTGGGCTAAGGCCCAACTTCTCCATGTATGAAGAGGTATAAAAGCCATCAATATTACATTTGTACATTCATTCAAGCAAAGCCTCAAGCAATTAATTCTCTTGCATAGTCTTCTCTTTCTACGCACTGTACTGACTTTAGCATCGGAGGGGCCTTCCTCGGCAACACCCCCGAGGCTAGTTTACGTGTGTTTACTGTGCAAGAAACCTTCGGTCCAACATTTCTTGATCGAATCTAGTCTTCACCACTTCATCGGACCTTCGGCAAGGTCCCATTGTTTTCACCCGAAACACCATATAAATTGATCAAAATTACAGATAGTAAGGTCAGATGAGCATATTCCTGCTTCCTGAGCATTGCAAGTGAGTCCAATTCCTTCAGAATCAAGAGCCTTTCCAATTACTGATAAAATTCTCCCACACTGGGTACTTGTAAATGTAGCATCTCTTTTTAAATCCAAGCACATCATTTTGGTTATATCTCCCTCAAGTTTCGATAACCAATTTTCGTCCTTTTCCATCTTAGCTGTTAAATTATTCTGCTCTATAACTAAATCCTCTTTCTCTTTGTTTAGTTCCTGGATTATTTCATCTTTCTCTCTCAAACTTTCCAATTTCTCCCTCTCTAAAACCTCCTTAACTTCCTCAATCCTCCTTGCCTCATTCCTCCTTAATTCTTCACACCTTGCATTCAACCTATCCTTCTCCTCCTCCAACCCCGAAATCCTCATTTGTAACCCCTCAACCTCCTTCGCTTCATCCTCCAACCGCGCCTTCTCTTCCTCCAACCCAAAAATCCTCATTCTTAACCCCTCAACCTCCTTCACCTCATCCTCAAACCGCGCCTTCTCCTCCTCCAACCCCGAAATCCTCATTCTTAACCCCTCAACCTCCTTCACCTCATCCTCAAACCGCGCCTTCTCCTCCTCCAACCCCGAAATCCTCATTCTTAACCCCTCAACCTCCTTCGCCTCATCCTCAAACACCGCCTTCTCCTCCTCCAACCCCGAAATCCTCGTTTTTAAACCCTCATTCTCCACCCTCATCTCCCTTATCCTCTCACCTTGTCCTAACGTAACTTCCTCCAAAAGGGTACCCAATTTCGACTTTTCCACCATTAACAACCCAATTCTCCTATTCTTCTCCTCCAATTCCTTCAAAACAACCCCATTTTTCCTATCAATCTCTTCAATTTCAACCTCTTTATCCCTCAAATTCCCCTTCAAACCCTCAATTTCATCCCTCGAATTCCCCAATTCTTTAACCAACCCCTCCCGCTCAATCTCCCAAACCCTAAGCTTCTCCAACAACCCGTCATACCTTCTCGCACCCTTCTCCAAATCATTTCTCTCATTACTCAACTCCCTCGCTAAATCCTTACTTCTCATCGTTCACCTCAGCTTCCCTCCCTAATCGGCGACGCTCTTCCTCCCACGTAATCTTTTCAGTCTTCATTTCACCGAGTTCCGACTCGAATGCGCCGTATTTATCCCTCAAATTGGCTATAACTTCATCTTTTTCTCGCCTTAAATTCTCCTCTCTCGCCATTAATTCTCTCTCAGCTTCCTTGAACTCGGATTCCTGAAATGACGACCTCAATGCGTGTATGATGGTGGAAATTGAAGATTGCTTCATGGAATTGACGCTCATTATAGGTCACTGAGAAAGAGAATTCAAAGAGTCATGAGATCATTGTTGCGTTGGGTTTAAGAGTCGCAGTACCACAATAGTATTCTGCTTCTCTATTTGACAATAATGAGTAAATAAGAAATAAAACGTGATGCGTATAATATAAGTAAACTAGATAAGGTCCCTATCATGCACGGTTGTTTTAATCACTTCACGATTTCTTTAGATAAATTAATTTATAGAATAAAAATATAAAAAATAAAAATAAAATAAATTGCTTAGTATCCGCTGTCGGAAGCGTTCAATCAAAAGAGCGAGGCAAATAATGATCTTGTGCAATAAGATAGATAAACGGTTTAGTATCCCTTTAAATTATGTTTTATGAAAAGGGAAAAAAAAATCATAATCGTAATTAATTTCTACTCCCTATAAATAGTCCATACGTAATTAGTTGATGTAGATGGATTGATTCATTACATTACTATTCGGTTACAAAAATGAAGAAAAGACATACTATATTGGACTTTTAAATATACAATTTGAACAATAATAGTGTGGTCCATTTATTTAACTGAATTATATTTTTGATAAATTTCTCAATTTATATAGCACAGAGATAAAAAAAAAAAACTATTAATCGAAAATTTTGTAAATTGTTATAATCCCTCTAAATTATGTTTTATAAAAAAAGGAAGAAAATATAATATTAATTAATTTCTACTCTCTATAAATAGTCCATACGAAATTAGGAAATGTAGACGAATTGATTTATTACATTTCTATTCGATTTATGAAAATGAAGAAAAAAATCATACTATATTAGACTTTAAAAAAAAAAAACAATTTGAACAATAATAGTGTAGTCCATTTATTAACTGAATTATATTTTTGACAACTTTCTCAATTTATATAGTATAGTGATTTCTTTAAAAGAAATATAAATTGAAAATTTTGTAAATTGTTTATTGATATTTAATCAAGATTATATTCATACAAACTATTCCACAAAAATTACATCTTCTTAAAAAATATTACATTTATTTTCTTATTATTCTAGTGTTACTTGTGTATCAACATAGGAAATTAAGGGTAAATATTATTGATCATTTATATGGTTGACAAATACAAACCTTTTTTTAAATAACTTCCTTAAATAAATTATTCTAATTCTTTTTTTTTTAAAAAAAAACAAATAAATACTAAGGACACGACAAAAAATGACACGTGGCATTGCTGGTGTGTCTTTTAGTATATAGAGTTATTGATTGATGACTTCCGTTGTGTCAATTTGTCGTTATAGCTTCCTTGTGAAGCCGAGTTATTTAAGACTAGTAATTCTAACCCGTACCGAGTGATCTGACCCGAATAACCTAATTCGTTATCTGAACTAAATTTGGTATAAATATGATCCAAAACCTGGCCTGACTTGACCTGATCCAAAGAGGAGTTCACCCAAAATTGACACGATACTTGAAGTGACTTGACCTGTACCCAATCTGAAATTAACCTGATAGCTAAAGTGACTTAACTTGAAGTCGAACAAATACCCAAAGTGACCCAACCCGAATTGACCCAGTACCTTAAGTGACCCGAATTGATTATAACATCTACAATTGACAACAAAAAGAGAAATTCCACATGGTGGCCCTCAAGATCCACATTTTCTATTTGGAGGGAAAAAAACATATAATTCGTGAAATAATTATGGGAATTTTGTAATCAATTTAGGGGTTTTTAATTTAAAACTCCATTTTTATTTGGCTCACCAATATATAGGTCATGTTTGGGGGAAAGCTGAAAGCTAAAAGCTGAAGCTGATTGAGTTAGCTGATTTTGACTAACTGATTTTATTAACTGATTAGACTAACTTATTGTATTAGTTGATTGTCTGTAAGTGTTTGGTAATTAGCTGATTTCTTAAAGCTATTTGAGTATGTAAAATGACCAATAAGGACATTGGCATATTTAATTGGAAAAATTGGTAAAAATAATCCCAACTTTTGCCCGTTCGCTCAAAATAATCCCAACTTTGGATTATTTTTAAATAATCCGAACTTTGGGGGCTATTCGCTCAAAATGATCCCAACAGGTCACCAATCTGTTAGAATAGATTAAGGTGACATGTCACCACGTGATTGGTTGGTTGAAAAAATAAAAAAAAAACCAAAGCAGCCATCAACCACAAACCCCACCTCCCCACCACTACCAGCAACCCCATTCCGGAGCGCTTATCCACCAGAACCCACTCCCACTCACACCGCCACCAGAACCCACTCCAGCCTGTCAACGACCCTTCCCGGCGCCCCTTTCCTCAAAACCACTAATCTCGTAGCCTTGATAAAAACCCAACCGAAATCCCTCCCCACAGCATAAAAAGCCCCCAACCGCCCATCCCCCACCATCGGAACTCTAGCGCTAGGGTTCCGATGGTGGGGATGGGCGGTTAGGGGTCTTTATGCGGTGGGGAGGTAGTTTAGGGATTTCGGTTGTGTTTTTGGGTTGCGGGATTTGTGGTTTTGACGGAAGCGGTATCGGGGAAGGTGGTTCCAACGCGGGGGAGGGGGTCTTGGCGCAGTGGGCTGGGGGCCGGAGGAGGAGTAATGTCGGATGTGGGTGGTGGAAGGGTTGTCGTGGGTTGTAGTGGTAGGGATTTTTGGTTTTCGTTTTTTTTTAATTTATTTTCAACTAATCAGGTGGTGACATGTGTCACTGAAATTCAAAAAAAAAAATTACTTCTTTAATAGGTTACCAGTCATTTAGGACCGTTTTGACCAAATAATCCAAAGTTGAGATTATTTTGAGCGAACGGGCAAAAGTTGAGATTATTTTTACCAATCTTTCCTATTTAATTTGAAAGCTCAATTATTAAATAATAAAATAATTATTAAACAAATTTACATGCTATGTATACATATAATTGGACATATAATTTTATTAATGAAGTTGTGAGATCATTTTTTATAGGAAAATTGGCTTAAAATATATACCAACTATCAACGGTATGTGCAAAATAATACGAACTCAACTATTTGTTTTAAGCGGTACCACCTTTTGTACTATATGTGGAAAATAGTATGCTGGTCACTGAAAAAGTATCGCGGGGAATATTCCGTCTATATTTATTATTATTATTATTATTATTATTATTATTATTATTATTATTATTATTATGTTTTGTTATTAATTTTTCGTTTTCTTTTCAAAATACATATGAAGTATTATGTTAAAAATTTTCTTTACAGTATCCAAATTAATTTCCTTTACAGCCCTTTGTTTTTTTTTATTTTTAATTTATTTTTATTTTTGTGGTGAATGTGGGGAAATTTTTGAATTTTGAAAGTAATTACATCAACATTTTTTTTAAGGAAAAACTAATTATATCAACATAATAATACATTTAAATACCCTATTTACTATTGTGTGATTGTAGCAGAAATTATTACAGGTATTTTGAAAAGAAAATATTTAGACACATATTGACAATTTATAAAAAATAAACAAAAAATAAAAAAATCTTAACAAAGGGGTGGGACATTATTAATTTGGATTGTAAAAGAAATTTTTAACAATTATATGTATTTAGAAAAGAAAAACAGAAAATTAATAAAAAAATAAAGTAATAATAAATATATGCGAAATATTCCTCGAAATACTTTTTAGGTGACCAGCGTACTATTTTGCACATATAGTACAAAAGGTGGTACCACTAATAGTAAATAGTTGAGTTCGTATTATTTTGCCCATATAGTACAAAAGGTGGCACCGATAATAGCAAATAGTTGAGTTCGTATTATTTTGCACACACCGTTGATAGTTGATATTATTTTAAGCCAATTTCCTTTTTTATATAATCCATAAGGCGACTATTGGAGCTAAATTTGTGAAACTTCAATACCTGATTTATCTGACAAAAAAAAAACAAAAAAAAAAATTAAAATTAAAAAAGTATGACGAATAATTTTATAAAATAGGATTTATTTGGTTTGGGTAACAAGGATTTAGAAAACTTAAGTTAAGATGGAAAAGATGGAAATATATATATATATATATATATATATATATATATATATATATATACACACACATATAAACATGTACAATTATTAAAAAAAAAAAAATCAAAATCAAAACAAAGAAAAATAAGACAAAGATAATTGATAAAGCTTACCTTGAGATTACTATCGAGGGTGGAGTGGCAGTGGTAAATGAAAGAAAGTGAAATTATTTGTTTAGCTGGTTAGTTGTGAAAGATAAGGTTTGGTCATAAATAAGAGGGCAAATTTGATGTGGATTTAAACCCCTAACTTAATAAAGAATCTAAACTCACACAAGTAACACAAGCCTTTCAAATTTCCTAAGAAAATCGAACAATTTAAGAACAACGAACCGGATATGACTTTGAAAACGACCACTCCTAGAACGAATTCAAAGCATATTCAAACTACCTAGACCACTCCTGGAACTAAGTATTTTGTTGAACAAAACTTATAATACTCCTAGAACTAAGAATTGAACGTTCTAATCATCAAAACAACTCCTTGAATTGAAAACTAGCAAAGAAAAGTTTAAGCAAAGTTAAACAATTTGTATTAAAACAATCTGATTTTCTATCTGTCTAAAGCCACGAAAATTACCCCTATTTATGACATAGGAGGCAACTAATTCTATTCCTACAAGGACTAGGACAAACCCCTAACCTTGTTCCAAGCATCCTAACTAGAATAGAATAACTACTTTTAATTAGAATAGGAAAACTAATCCTAAACAAACTCTAATTAACTAAACACTTTCCTAATAACCTTAGGAAGTTTATAACAACTAAATAACAGAAAATAAAACTTATCCTAAGTGGCAAAAACTCTAGAAAAAACTAAGTATGAAAAATCATCCATTTCTTCTCGACGTCA